ATTTATCTTTAAAAAAACCTTTGCTTTCACTACACATGTTTTTTCTAATTACTGTTTTCTTCTAAAAGAAACACAACATGAGGAGATATTAGAGTTTCGAATTTAATTCCACAGGGTTAAAACCAGATACCAGAGATTTTGTAAATATTTTTAAAATGACAATAGCAGGCATTCTTTCTCTCCTTAAAGCAGAGTAATAAAGTTTGAAAAGTAAATGCATGCTGACATTCCTCTTAAATTACCTCAGCTCTAACAAGAGTGCCAGCTTAAATCCCATGCTTGCAACTAGTGCTTGCAACTGCTGGCAGTTAGCCTTCTGCACATAGGACTGGGGGGCAAATCGAGTGGCTAAAATTATTTTAAGCATCATAAATTAATTTTCCTTTGCCAGATTTATTATTAATTGTAAATTAATGTTTCTCCATGGTAAAAGGTGAACAAAAAAAGCAAGTGTGTAGGTAATTTTTTCATGTATTTGAATCTTCCTTTAAGTGGCTGCAGGAGCATGAGGAACAGTCAAGCACAGTGCTGGATGCTTCTTGCCAAGTGCCAAGAATTGTACTGTGGTGGAAAGAGTAACACGTGCAGAAAGCACGGGGATGCTCCCAATTCAATAGAGTTTTAAGAAATTCTTAGTTTTTTGTAGATTCTTCAGCCTCTCCTCTTCCAGAAAGCATTGGCGTGTACCTAGGACCTTCAACAGAAATTAATATATGCTTCCACGTTTTAGTGACTTGGTCCTTTACATATTATAAGGGTCAAGTTCTGACGCTTGCGGTCATGTGCCATGGTGTCTCCTTCTATACGTGGTCCTCGGAGCCTGCTCCTGGAGTCAGATGGTGTTGGCAGGAGTAGGGGTCAAGTCTGTTAGTACAGAAAGTTCAAACTTGGTCATTGCAGGAAGGCTTATGTAGGGTTCTGCATGTCCCTTTTGGTCAGTTTGGGGAAGCAATTTTTTTTTTTTCTTCTCTTTTGAGGAAGACCTTTATAATGTTGATTATAGCTTGCACGTAAAATGATGGGGTTTGCAGGTTTGGTTTTTTTTTGGGGGGGGGGGCTTTTTGGGTGGGTTTTTTTCCCCCCCCCTCCTTTTTCTCTGCAGAACATTAGCCAAACTTCAATGATGGGTACCTGGCAAAGTTGACCAAACAAATCTACTTTTGTTTTTCTTTTGTGCCAGAGGCAATGTTTGTTCCTTTGCACTTTCTCTTGGATCTTTCCCATCAAGAAATGTGCATTTTTCTTCCTCTTGTGTTCAGATACCTGTGGCTTCAAACCCTTTCCAGGCATGGACACAATCATCATTCTTCTTTCTTGGCCAGCTATTTTGTGCTGGTTTTGTAATCAAGTCATCTTGATTCTCTATTCCAGTCTTAAAGAGCTTTATGGTTTGGCATTTGAAGTACCTCCTATTTCACTATGCAATTTTCTGCCATCAGGTTATAAAGCTTCTTTCCTAGTATATGTGTGTTTATATAAACCTGTTTATTCAGGAGACGAAATGGCATAAGCCAAGGGGTTTTTGGGGGGGGATAGAGAATACCAGTTGGTCTTATTCTGGTTATAGTAATTCCAGTGGGAAAACTGTGTTCTACAGCTACAGTCCTTCCGTAGGGTGATGAGTCTGCTGTGTGTATTTTGGTAGCAGCACGGATGGCAGAAATCAATGTATTTTCTTAGCATCCCAGTACTGTTTTTGTCTTCCTAAGCACCTAATGTTTGTTTTGACATGCAGTGGAAGTACAATTCAGGCACTTTTTCTTTATTTCCATGTGTTCCATAAAGACTGTTTCCTGGAGCATTTAGATTAGTGAGGCTGAAAGAATGGAGGAGAAATCAATTTGGGGGATTAAAAGAATCCTGAATTAGGTATCAGCGGGGTATTACTTATTTTTAATTATGATCCCAGTGAAGCAGTTCTGTAAAGACTGAAGAGGTAGAGAAGAGAGGAGCTGACTTAAGTGTTTACCAGTAGAGAGACCCAAAAGAAAATACAGATAGATATAGAAAGTATCCAAAGTGTTTTTCCCTGTTACTTAAAATTCCAGATTGTGCTATCTGAACCTAGCTCCCAGCACTACTTCTTTCTGTCGTGTCTGTATTATCTATTTGCTGAATGCAGTGCTCATCTCTAATTTTGTAATTT